AGTGGGGCCGCCTCCTGAGAAGCCGCCTGCAATGGTGTAGACGACTGCATCATATGTATCGGAGCTGTCGACCTGTTGTTTCTTTTTGGCCGACTGCTTTTTCGAGGAAGTGTTCCCCGTAGATTTCTTGACATAAGTGTCAAGATTACCTTGCTCAGCCAGGCGGTCCAGATACCGCATGAGACTGATGCAGTCATTGGTGTGATGGCCAACATCTTCATGATAAGCACAGAATTTTTCTTGGTTCCGGTTGTTTGCAGAACCCTTCATGGGGACCGGCTTCTCAATTGAGATCCGTCCCTTGATTTCTTTTAGGATAAACTGGTTATCCTTGTTAAACACATACTTTGGGGAGTATGGTTTGAATTCTTTTTTCTTTGTCTGGGCCGGCTGTTTAGATGAATCGGTCGCCCAGACCTCTTTTCTTTTCTCGTCTTTGTTGGACGACTGCTTCTGTCGTCCTTCTCTTTTGTCGGACCTTTTACCGTCCGACTGTTTTACCGTACAAAGATCAGTCGCCTGTATATAGGCTTCCGCTTCAATCAAGGCCTCTTGAAGAGTCGCCACCCTCTTTCGAACCAAATCAAATTTGAAGGTAGACCCGTCTTTGAGACCTCTGAAAAAGTCAGTATAGGCTACTTCATCCGGTAACCCTTGAATCTGTATTCTCATCAGGTTAAACCGCCTGATGTAAGAACGAAGCCCCTCCTTCTCGCCCTGCTGAATTGTTCCTAAATCAAGGGTCGTTTTCTTCGCAGGGATGTTCATGGCGAAGTTGGAGGTGAATAAGTAAGCAAGCGTCCTGAAGCTATTTACACAACCAGTCGGCAGGTTGCCGAACCATTGTTGTGCGATTCCTTTGAGAGTCGCTGGGAAACACTTGCACCAAGTGGGATCATCCAACCCTTGAAGGTACATCAGGTTGGTGAATGCCATCAGATGGTCTTCTGGGTTAGTAGTGCCGTCATAGGCGCCTACTAGTACATTTTTTACTTTGGCCGGCTGAGCGGCTTCAGTAATTTCCTTGGAGAAGGCCAACGGCTGTTCACCAATTCTAAGCAACCGTAGCTGCCAGTCCATAGGTTGGACGTTTTTTGCTGCATGTCCACCAAACGGAGGTGGCTGCAAAAAATACTGTTGTTGCGGCACAAACGGTAAGTTTGGTACCGCCTGGTCGCTATGAAAGCCGGACTGACGGGAGGTGCCGCCTGACTGACTCTCATGATACGACTGAGTATGCCTCATCAAGGCATTTAGCAGACTGTCTTGAAAGTTTGAAGTAGAGGCCGACTCTGACAATCGGTCACTCTTCTTCTGCTCTAGCAGTAGCCGAGCGTTTGTGAATGTTTGCTTCGACCCGTCCGCCAGAATATGATGAACAGGTTTCCTATTTCCTGTAGGAAAACGGAATTTTGTGAAATCAAGGGCAGGTGGCTCCCGCTTCCTAGATTTAGGATGAGGAGTCGCCTCTCGCCCTTGAACTGGCTTCCTCTTCAGTGAAGTGGAGGGTTTCTTAGCCGACTGCTCCTTGACCAGAGCAGGCGGCTTCTTGTTGATCAACTCTTGAATCTCTCCCTTGAAGTCCCTCATGAAGGTCATGAGTTCGTTTCTTGTAATGGGAGCTGACCCATCAGTCGGCTGTTGCCGAACAGGCGGTGCGCCTGCTGGCTCGCTTCCTGTATGAAAATGTTCCCGTTCCCTCCTTTCGGTATGACGGGTACGTCGGGCCCTTAGGGTCCCGTCTGAAGTTGTGTGAGCTTCAACTTCAAATTCATCCTCAGTATCATGGTCCGACTGAACTTGAGGGTCGTCTAGGGGACGCCTCTCTTCAGGAGTCGGTACAGACTTGGATGCCATCTCAGAAGTACTCTCCCCAAAGACGGCGCCAAATGTTTCGGGGTTTTCTGATGTCCTGCGGGAGAGTTACAATTCCGAGACTGGAACCGGACGCCTGTACCTGCAAAATAACGGAGACTCCTGGTGGTGGGAGCTCCGCCTCCAACGGTCAAGTTAGTACTTGATTAAGGAGTAATTAATGCGGAAATTAAAGTGATTGGATCTCTCTAGGTGAGAGTGTTTAATGTAGGTAATCTGCTTTGTTAGCGAGATCAGCCGGTAACTCTGGGTGTAATCAATGTGTTTTTTCCGTGATCCCCCCTTAATGAGGATTAAGGGAGGTATTTATAACCTTGGGAAACGTGCCAATCCTAGGTTTAGGTTAACCTAGGGCTGATTGGGCTTCCCTCGGAAGTTGGGTCTGGGTGGCCGGTTTCTCCATTAGGCATGGAGTATGCCACGTGTCATGACATAATAGGTCCAAGGTGGACGAATAAGCGCGTGCCACGTGGCAAGCCCTGACAGTTCCAACTGGGGGACACTTGGCAGGACCTGATTGGCCCACGTGGCGCATTCCGATTGGTAGGAGCAAAATTCCCTAATCACTAGTGTAAACCAACCTATTTCGGCGTTAACTGAGGATGTGTAGATCACGTGACCTTATTTTATACTATTTTCACCCCTTTTCCCCTCTTTAAACCTTTCATCTTTAGTTTTTTCAATAACGAACCAACTAATCATGTTTTTCTAAGCTCTTCCATGATATGGTGCCTGCTGCAACTGCTGCATCATCAATTGGGATGTAAATGCATTCAATAAACACCCACCCATGAAGTCATGTGCCCACTTTCATGGTAATAAAATTTTCAAGCAATGAACTTTCTTCCATGATTCTCATGGGTCCATAAAGCCCTCTAGTGACCGTTATAATGTTGAAAATAGGGAAGAGATTAGAAGGAAAGGGTTTGAATGCGAAATATGTGAAGGAAAAAAGGTAGAAATAGTAAAATATAAGGTCACGTGACCTGCATAACCTAGTCAACGCCGAAAATAGTTTCAGAAGGTGGTGTTAGGTTGTCTCATGTTAAAAAATAAATAAATAAATAAATAAATAATAAAATAAAATAAAATAATAATAATAATAATAATAATAATAATAATAATAATAACAATAATAATAACAATAATTCCCTACCTTTTAAAAAGTATGAAAAAAAACACTTATGAATAGTGTGAAGACTAGGGATGACAATTATAAATGGATATCCAAAAACCCGATCCACCCGATATAAATAAATGGACAAAAATCCGCATTAAATGGATGAAGTGCGGGTGACGGACCGGATTGGATACAAGTGGGGCTCCGTTCCATCCGTCACTCATCCATTATCCCCCCGATATATATGTATATAATTATCGATTAATTTGATATAGAAGTTTATGTGTATTAATTTGATATATATGTAATCATCACCCGTAAAATACTATATTAACATAAATAATTTTGATTATACATAAAATAAGAAATTATAATCATCTCCCGCTAAGCATCTGATCCACCCGTTTCACTTGGTGATGACGGATGGATAGGATGCAGGTGATGGGTTTTGAGGGTGGCGTGTGGATCGTGTAAAGCGAATGGAGTAAGCGAGGTGGATGCAAGTGAAGCTCCATCCGACCCGAATTCAAGTCGTTGCCATTGCCAGTGAAGGCAATTATATCCTTGAAATGTTGGTTTACCTATATGTCCCTATTGATATTATGAGATAACACTTATTAATAATGTTAGAACAATATTGATATGCATTAAGGTTTTTTGTAGCCAAAATATTTTTTTTTTTAAAAGGTTGTTTTGATAAAATAATTGTTATATAAGGTTTCTTCTAACAAAATTTTCATAAAACAAAATCATACTACTAAAATTAGACAACTTTAGATCTAATTTACTTAAAATTCATGAACTACAAACATAGGGTTGGCTACTCAAGGGTATAGGTCAAGCTCAAGCTAGATTTTGAGTCATGCTAAAAACTACAAAAATAGTCTATGCTTAATATTAAAATATGATGAAGCATATGGGTCAAATCAGGTTAAATTTAATTGTTCATGTTTAGATCAAGTTTGATTCATATTTCTCTCAATATATTCAGTAGGTTCGGATTATGTTATTAAGCTGGATTAGGGTGTGCCTTCCATAAATACAATAGAACATATACCAAAATTCAAAATCAAAGACAAGCCCATAAAATTGAGGTTCATCTTTACAACAAACACTAATTTATTTGGATAAAGAAAGGGAAGGAAAAGAAGAGGGAGGGGAAGAGGAGAGAAGGGAAAGGGAGGAGAGGAAAAATAATACTCCCTTCGTCACAATATATAGTTCCCGTTTGGAAAATAACATGGGAATTAAGGAATAGGAGGAGGAAATAATAAAGTACATGGAAAAACCAAATTGATAATCATTTGCAAAAAAAGAACAGAGAAAAAATGTAATTTTTACTATTTCAATAATAAAATTGAAAAAAGAAAAAAAAGTTTAAAAAAACAAAAGGAGTCATGATGCACAAATAATAATAAAAATTAGAAGGTATTTTTTGTCACTTCCCTAATAAAGACAAAAAAAATGATGGTAAATAAGTAATTTCCAAAGAACATTAATTAAATGATAAAAAAAAGAAATAAGTACTATATTTAGGACCACCAAAAATGAAAATGGGAACTGTATTTAAGGACGGAGGGAGTAAATTTTCATTCCAAATTTTCTATTGCTGAAGAGATCAATTTTTTACAGTTTAATCACTCCATTTATCTCCCCTCCAATTACCTTCCTCATTTGTTATCCAAATGAAAGAAATTCAATCCCTCCACTTCCCTTCCTTTGCATCTATTTCCTTAATCCAAAAACACTCTTTAACTACCCTATACTTGATTGAGTCGTTCCATTAATTTTCTAGACCAATGTATTCCTAAATTTATACTGTATAATTAATTTGTTAATCATCTCCACTCTCTAAATGACACAAATTAATTAAACACAATCACGATCCTCAAAGTCATACCAATAGAACAAGAAAGCTCAACTGAACTTAATTCCCTAATTAAACTAGTTGATCGATCACAGCCAAAGTTAGCAAAAAAATTATTCCAAAAATATGTGCCAGTGGTAATCAACCAAAAATACATAAAATAACATTTGAATTTACATTGCTGGTCTTGTTCAATTATCATAATGTTTAAAGGCAAGAACTGCACAATGAACAGTATAGCTATGGCGTAATTGAGGGACTGCTCGTGACAATTAGGACTTCCTGGCTAACAGCAAATTACAGCCACCACTTCTAGTTGACAGCAGGTCTAAATGAATAAGTTCCATACTTTCATTCCCTATCTGAAACTCCAAAAAACTTGTTTTCCGAATTTCATCAGCAATACCACCATAATCACCATTTAACAATGCAATTGTGTTCTCTAATCCAAGTACTCCTTGGGTTATAAAGATGTTTGATGCAAGATTCTCTTAAATCAAAGAAGATGCTAGTCCACCATAAAAACAAAACTGTTCTTTTCCCAAATGCTCATCGACGCTTGTAGAGACAAGGCTTAAGCTCAGGCCATTCAATCTCATTCACATCTCTCAGTTGCTCATCCTGACCAAAAATTAAAGTGATGCATATTCAAAATAAGAAACAAATAAACAAGGAACGGTTGATTGGCCCACATACATGCAAAAACACAAAGATAACGAGGGCCTTTAATCTTAATACCCTGATATGGAAAAATGAAAGGAAAGCAATTCACACCTTTTTCCTGAAGAAAAACAGGATGAACATCTTATTTGAGGAATCCTGTAAACAAGAATTCATAAATAGACAGTTTTACAGTAAAGCAAGCAGGAGTCCAGAAGAGACTTTATTTATACTATTAGAATAACTAGAATAAACAAAAGAAAGAAACACAATGTGGTTGTCAATTTTTGGGGAAATTAAAAGCACATATACCTTTTTTTCAGTAATAAATCCTAGTTCACATATGGCTTTGGAAAATTTTATGGGATCTGCTCCTCCAGTGTTTGGATCAAACCTACTCTTTACTTCAGCTATCAAGAGCCAGCCCCTAAAAGCATCAGAATATTATCAGAAACATACAAAAAAAAAAAAAAATCACTTATCAATAATTTGTAAACCACCAAACTAAAAATATTGCCTTGGCTTAAGAACTCGGTGTGCTTCCTGAAGATAACTAGGGAAATCAGTTCCCATCAGCGAAAGGCAGAATACAGAGACATCGACGGATGATGATTCAAGGGGTGTCTGCAAGAACAAAACTTTATGATTTAAACAGCATTGAGATATCAATACACTTGATCAATGATGTTTAGTTACAAGAGCATACTGCACCTGATCTCAGCAAAATGTTTGAGCGTGCAGCATGAAATAAAGTCTAAAATACATGGAAAGTTGAAATCACAGAGGACAGGTATCATGTCTCACAAATATTATTAAACTAGAACAGATCTGCAAGAGCAGACTTCCAAAAATTGCTCATGCATAAAAATGTAGTCCAACTCAGTCTCTAGACTACAAAATTACTTTTGCTGATGCCTCTTTATAGAATCTTACATTTTTCTAAGTTAGCTGTAACTGAAGAGTGAATGTAAAAAGCCCTGCGTTACATTAATTGACAAAATAATCCAGCCTAAAGAAGGGAGAACTCATACAAATAGAAAACAGTCTATATGACTTATACTTTACAAGACAATAGCTTTTAACACAAATTACAATAAGAGTTATGTACCAATTGGTTGTTGGTGTAGTGGTGATAGGGACTACAATAGGTAGGAAGGACTGCGTAATTGATCCCCCACAACAACAATTGGGAGGAGACTGGAACCTAACCACCCAAAACTGATCCTCGAATCTAGATAAGCCCAAAGGGTGAACCGGGTGGAACACCAAAAAAAAAAAGTTACGTCTTATTACTACAAGTTTCAAAATATTGTTTATAAAATTCTAATGCTCTTATGTTTGAGATTTAAAAATATAAATCCTGATGACCGGGCACATTCCATTTTAAAAAAATAAATAAATAAATAAATAAATGTAACATACAGCAAATACAAGGAACTTGATAAAATTGAATGAGGGTCAACTATGGAAAGAAGACAAACCTTGAGAGAGTATTTCGACTATCACAACTTTAGATCAATCCCCCAAAGGTTTGGTGAAAATTGTATGAGCTTACTCTAATTAAACATTCCAATCCAAAAGAGATACCCTTGTGCTAGCTCATCAATTTCATATGTTATGTTACCCAAAATAAGTGCTTGTTTGGTTAGATAAAGTATTAACTTCCATGAATTTTCAATGTCCATGAAATTTTATTTCCAAGATTTATTTTGGCTGGGCGGTAGAAATTTCTACTTCCCAAATTCCCTAAGGAATTTCCGCTAACCTTAAGGGGCTAGGCAAGTGAATTCCTCCATATAGTGGAAAGTAGAATTTCCTATCTCACTTCCCTGATGAGTGGCATTTATGCCACGATTCAGAGTCCGTTTTAGTGGTTTTTCCCCGTGCTTGTAGCTTGTTTGTGCCCTCTTTTATGACTTTACCTTATTGTCTTCGTTCTCTTTCATTTCTTAGTTTCCCTCCTATTTTTGCCCTTTTTCTACCTTTGTTTCTTTTTCTTCATGTTTTTGTAGGAAAGACTAGATGATGAAGCAAGGGGTGAAGTTTTGAAGCTGAGCGCCCAGGAGAGACCGCGCAAATGCAGTTTGCGCGGGCGAACTGAATTCATGCGAGGACGCTCACATGGATTGAAATTGAAGGTTTGAGAGAGTGGCTATGCGCGCCAGCCAGACGACGCGCAAAAGAAATGCGCGGGCGCGCACTGAGTATAAGATTGCAGAGGTTGAGGCAGGAAGTCTGCGCGCCTTGGTTGCGAGCGCGGGCACGCATCAATCATTCGCGGGCGCGATTTTCGGGGTTTACTTTCCCGTACCCAGATTATCGCGGGCGGGGCGCACACGATAAGTCGGTCTCCCTCACTTAAGCCTCTTGTATAAATAGCTTTAAGGCTCTCTTTTTAGCAATTAATTAGGGTTTAGAGTAGCTTAATTTCCAGTAAACTTAGAGAGAGAAACACTTAATCTTGTGATCTTGGATGATTTGTAATCAACTTTTTGAAAATTAATGAAGCTCCATTAGTAACTTTTTTCCCTTAACTCTTTATTCACTTGCTTTATTTCCTTAGTTTGCTTATTAAACATGTCATTCCTTGTTAGTTGTATGATTAGCTTGCTTTTCAACATGATTATTGAGTAGTCCCTTAACTAAGGGAATGGTGATGGGTTAGCCTAATCTTGAGCATGTTGGGGAATGGGAATAAGGGTTGATTAGTGATTAAAGTCTTTGTTTTTCATGATTTACCAATTATTTCTATTGAGTGGCCAATCAATGGTTGTAGTTGGGTGAGTTAATCTTGATTATGACGACAATGTGACTAAGTAAAGCTCGTCAGATGATTCATGTTTATTTGCTTCAATTCATGCATAATTATGACGACAGTGTGATTGTGTGTGCTTGAGAAAGTAGTTGCTCCCGACAGGAGAGTAGACTATGCCTTTAATCATCTTTCATGTGAAACTTAGTTTGCTTGATTCCCACCTTTCCCCTATTATTGCTTGAGTGACAGTTTGCTTTGAACCATTTCCTTAGTGCTTGTTATATTTGGTTTATTCCCTAGTTTAATTGTAGTTTATTAGTGTTTGATTTTCCATTCAATTTGTCGAGCTAGATTAATTGGTGATAGTGTTTGTGGTGCTTAGTGTCTCCCTTGGGTTCGACCCTATGCTTGCCTTATTTAGGTTAGCTTAGGATCATAAATTGTTTTGATTAGGGGTTTGCATATAACGACGTGTTTATCTCTTATCATTCCCATGTTAATGTTAACCAAGTGAGCACATACATCTATTTCCTATAAACTTACTTCCCATCTTTTTATTTGTCAACCAAAGCACTATTTAACTCAGTGCCAAACACGAATATAGGTCCAAGTGGGGTTAAGACTCATCTATTTTACAAACAAGTGACTACTTTTAATACTTGTGTTGATTGTTAAGAATCTGACTTGGATACTTATGGAGTTACGGTGGATGAAGGGCCTAGGTGACATAGGTGGCAACTTTAGATAGCATTAAGGTAAAGTAATATGTGGACTCAAAGTCTCAAACCCAAGCTTCCAGCAGTATATATGTTTTACTGAAAGAAATATATACAAACAACCATCCCACTAAATCATGGATCTAATGACTACTAAGTAAAACAAGAAACATCCGCAACCACTTGGGTCAATGAAATGGGATGAAATAATAGATTGCTAAGGTGCACACCTTGGACATGTCACAAGCAATAACAGAAGGATCACTGGAAACAAGATCAATAGAATATACTTTATTTTTTACATTCTTTGATAACCGTGCATCCCCTGCATTTGACAAAAACAGGCACAATTAGCGTAAAAGTGATAATGAGAAGCAATAAGTGAGACTCCTAGTTACACCAGACATCATTTCAATATAGGCATTAGTTTAAATAGGGCACAGAAGACCTCACCACAACCAAAATCAGCCACGATAAAAGATGGGTCATGATCCTTCAGCCATTTGATGATCACGTTAACTGGCAGCTCAGGCCAATGTGACATTTGTTCTTGATATCCTACATGATACTGGCATATAAGTTAAGAAAATGTCAAAACAAGCAAGGTATCAGGCAATGACTATATCAGACCCAAACAACTTCCTGGCAGCATATTCCTATGAGTATATGACAGATTGGATATAACAACACACACACTTCAAACACAAAAAAAAAAATTAGAATTTCACATGCCATGTACACACAAAAATTATGTAAACAAAAGAACATAATTCAGATGCTGAAGCAAAAGTTTACAATGTAAGAGTACAATTCAGCAAAATATAGTGGGACTTCCTAGTAAGTGCAACTGTGCAAGGTAGGTAAGTTGTTTAGTTGACAAAAAAATTGGTGAAATGAGGTTAGTAGGACTTATTATGAATTTCCACTTCCCACAATATGTAGGAGTTCCCTTACGTAATTCCCCAAGGTAATAAGAAATTCTTATAGAAAGTTACTTCCCTATTGATAACCAAACAACTTTAGGAAATTCCAATGAATTTGGATTATGGAATTTAATTCCCAAAAAAATCGAACTTCACGGGAATTTCTACTTCCTGCGTGAATCAAAAAACCACTAAATATTTGGACTTAAGACATTATCCCTATAGTTACGACTAACACTACTTCACAAATATTTCAAATCCAAGTCTTGCATAGTTGTAATGTGAAAGAGGTGTGCTACAAACATCTCTTTGAGCAATCTTGAAGGGCCAGTGATAAGTAGTCTATAGCATGAGTATTGGTACTCAAGAAATTTCTCCAGCAAATTTTGGAATATACACCCTTGATAATGGACCAAAGAATCCACTCAAAGATTGATCTTACCTATCTTATCATTAAACGAGTAGAAATCAACTAATAGATTCCAATGATTTACATATGGAACATAGATAATTCATCACAGACAGGCGAATCTAGGAATTTAGAGATGGGGTACAAATTCGGCTTGTTAAAATAAAACTTATAAACTACAAACTTGACAAACTAAAATTTCAGTTTGTTTCCACTATCTTATTAGTCATTCATAATTAAATAACCAAACATATTAAACCAATAATTTTATTGAAGGTTACACTTTTATAAAACTTTTAGCCAAATCTAAAGACCATATATATACACTAGAAATAAAGTACTTGTAATAATTTAATCTAGTATAACTAATCACACTTAGTTTTATACATTGCCATAATCTAATATACAATGATACAAATTGAGGCATACTTATTTATACCTGATATATAGTACTGAAATCAGGGGGAAAAAAAAAAAAGTGTTAACTATATTGATGAACATACTAAGTTTAGAACCAACGATTCGAAAACTCTTTTATTTATATATATAAGAAATCATTAGACAACCATTAAATATTAACAATATATTGATGTAATTAAAATGACCGATATTTGATATTAATGTTATATGTTTAAGTATATAAATGATACTTCGTACTTCATAGTAATATAAAAGTGAAGAGGACAAGAACAAATTACTCCCTCCGTTCAATTTTTATCTTCCTAATTTCCGTTTTGATATGTTTCTTTTTTATCTTCCCACTTTTGCTTTATTCCTTTTATGGTAAAGAAATCATCCACTTTTATCACTCCTTAACCCACCACATGGTCCATATAAGAATATATAATAATGATTATGTTTTTAAAACTTCCTCCCTCAAACTTAAAAAGTAAAAATAAAGACCCATTTTCCACTTACTACATTTTATATAAATAATAAATGGGTATGTAAAAAAAGAAGAGAGGGAGTATTATATGTCTATATATAATACCAAAGTTTTTTTAAAAGAACTGGATAAAAAAATAAAAAATAAACAAAAGAAAAAAACTTAAAAAATAAATATTAAAATAAAACTCATTTTGGCAGAAGCGTACTTATATAACTAAGGAAAACAGTTGTAGACATTACCAGTCTCTTTTCATTTCCTTTTTAGAAGAGTGCAGCAAAGACCTATTAATGCTGACTCTATGACAAAACCTATGAGATCAGTGTTATATAATATTCAGTCTCTTTGATCAATATTTTGTCTTTTGGAAAGAGGGTATGTACCCCTGTATCCGCCACTATTTATGAAGAATCTCTAGCATGAGACATTATATTATTTCAAAACAGAATCACAAGTACAAAATCCAGCACGAACATTGTGTGAAATAACTTTTAACCACTGGACACATTTATTAAAGGGAAGATAATATTCAAAAAAATTACTAGATGGTAGGGCTCGCAAGAATGGCAAGTGAACATTTATGCAATAAGGAATCTAGGATTTAGATATGCATATAATAAATTAGCTACTCCAATAGGTGGCTTCCACAGCCACCAAGAATCTAGAGTGCACTTACAAATTAGTAATTAAAAGTTATCCAAAACTTCTAAGTACTAGATGACTTATAATATCTATTACATAATAGGCGGTAATTTATACATATGTACTGTTTAACACAGAACATTCCCCAAACTCTACCCATTTAGTCAATAATATATCCAGGATAAGTCACACAACTTGGATATAGTAACCATAAAAGTAGAAACTCACCATATTGAACAGAGAAGGGTCCTCCTTGAAAAACTTCAGAGCTTCATTTCCACTGCAAAACAAAAGTAGGATACATGTGATATCAATTTAGCAAAATAAAATGGCTAACAATACATCAATAAATAGTTTATAACATGCTAAACCAAATCATGCCCCCACAAGCCCCCAAGTAAAAGATTATAACAAAACAAAATTCAACTGTCAAACAATTCTAAACTCAATAATCATACTTTTCACTCTATTCAAGGGGTGGGGGTCCAGTAATTCATGAATTTCAAAGATTCTTAAAGATGAACATTTAACACCTCCAGCAAACAATGAAGCGGCTGATATCTGTCATCCACAATCCTAACAGAAGAGACGCAGAAAAGGGAAACATTAAGCGAAGAGAAGGGAAACTATACAAGTATCAACAGTTATCATACATTGGTATTGGACAATACACTAATTAATTGATGGTCATTTAGTTAGCGATAATATGGATATTATTCCTTGTATTAACTCTAGGTTAATTCCTATTCTTTCTTCAAATGCATTAGGAACTCCCCTCGTGAGAAGGGTTTCCTATTGTTTTCCTTTTTTTATAACTTTAAATTAAAACAAATTAGTGATACTCTACAATGAGTCCCTAGATCATTCTTTTAAAAAAAAATAATACAGGTACCTTATTTTCTGGGACTACATCAGATCCATTAGCCTTAAGATCACAAGACTACCTACAAGTACCAAAATCTGAAAGATTCCCAGAAAGAGAAGTAGGGTACCATAATGTCTATACAATTAATAAATCATATAATAAGACGCCCCCAAAGTACACACTAATCAACCACATGAGTCTGGAAAAAATGGGCCTCCCCAGCTTCATTGCACTTCTTCTATCACGGCAAATATTATTACGTACTGCCACCTTCTAGTTTTGGCTATATTCTTTTTTCAGGACCACAGATGCTCTAATTGAGTACCATGCCACAAATAGGAGATTGCTACATTCACAAATATATTCACTATAATGCTATGTGAACAACAAATATTTTTAAGCCAAGGGCCATTCAGATCTCAGGTACATGATGCCACTCAATCAGAGTGAAAAAAGGAAATATTGAGAACGGAAATTGAAAAACGGAAGAAAGTGTACAACTATGCATGTGTCTATCAATTGAAACCATCTTAAAAGATGATAAGAAATTAAAACATTAACATCCATACATATGCTATCATAATGCTCATTACATATAATTATGTCCTCCATTTTACAACCTTGTTAGCAAACACTAAGTTCCATGCTCTTGATTAATAGCATACATATATTACTAGACATTGACATAACCCATAATTGCAATTTACAATCATCGGCATACATATATGACTAGTCATTTACATAACCCATAATTGTGATTTACAGTCATCTAGGCTGTGAGCTGCATCCTCTTGACTAACAGTATACATAAATGACTAGTCAGTAGTCATTGACATGGGATTAAATTCCTTACTATTTTATGGTTATAACAGATAAATCCTATTATGACTTAATAGCTTTATTGATGCAGAAGCTAGATCCCTCCAGTTTCACATTGATGTTGATTCCCTTGATATTCTCACAGCGGCATTCAAGGAATTAATAGCTTGATTTTAGGTTAATTTCTCTCTTATGGCACTCCTTGCATGATCTGGATTGGTTCTTAAAGGCTTGAATAAGTGTTTGAAGAGTAGTAGTGTTTTCAGGCAATAATATAGGTTCAAACACTTTGAAGCCAAAAGGGGACCAAGGAAAAATTCGTCTTTTGCTAGAATGGTGATGCCGGATGCACTAGTGCACACCCATATGAAGGAAACAACACTAAGAACAGCCAAGCAACAAATTAGAGCTATTCATGGAAAACTATGATCAGTTCCAGACATACAGCACCAGAAAACAGAAATGCACAAAAGCACCAATGCTCCTAAGTTATAAGTACAGGCACCAGCAATGCAATATAGCTTCATTACTCCTCTAATCCAGTGCTGTCCATATATCGTTCCTTTAGGTTGTCCAAAATACCCTTAATCTAATCTTGATATCACTGATTTTGACTCAAAAGGTCAAGAAATCCTCCCCAAGGTCCATACGCATTAAAGTAGCATTGCAACCAAGGTTGATGAATGATGATGGAGCCTTAAAAAATTATGAAGATAGAAAGAGAAAATATAACAAGCTTACAATTTTTCCAACCTAACTTTCCTTTCCTCTCAACCTCTCTTCAATTCACCCTCAAATCAAAATAAAAGAAATTTCAAAATAAATATAAATGAATGAAAATAAAAGAAAAACATTAAAGATCTCATACAGTCATACCACACATCATCACCATCAACTTCCCCCTCCCCCTGAGAAAAAAGGGGAAAAAAACTTGACATTCTCAACCAAAATCAAAACAATTCTTAAATTTCTTACCAACCTCTTTAATTCGTGTCCATAACACACAAACACACAGCCCTGCTTTGAGCTCACTTTCTCCCTGTCCATTGGACCCCTTAGGCCTAATAAACCTCACAATCGACAAATTTAAAACCCTTTGTAAATAAAAATTCAGAATTAATGATTTTGACCTCATATTGAATAGAGCATTATATAATTTTCTAAAATTATGATTTTTTTTTTTTTTACCACAATGTAAGAGTGCCTTATTTCAACTATGAAAGGAGATGATCCATTTTATGGAAATTCCAATAAATAATTTAAATAAAAATTCACAGGACCCAGCAAGAAAGCAAGTTTATCAGCTATAACTAATAACTATGACCACGTGGGTGGTTTTAGGAGAAACATAGGCAAGTGCTCTACCAAAAAAGCTATGAATGAGATGGCTTCTAGTACCTAAAGAAGAAAGAAACGAAAAGAATAGAAGTATACCCACAAGATATATTCAAACCAAAATAGTTGGGTATGAAAGATTGAAGTCATACTAATCTTAATATACCAAAGCTCGTTTATGTAATGAGTTGGATTACGGACAAAAAAAACTAAAGGAAGAAGATGATTTTGATTTACAAAATGAGAATAATAACAGGAAATAAAAAGATAGTGCAAGCTTTCAAGAGGCTTGTTTTCTCCCAAGACTAACAAAAAAAAGCAATTCGACTCTTAGTAATTTTTTCCATCTCACTGATTCTTTTATTAATAGAGCTACATCCACTGCTTTTTCTTGAAGCTAAAGTATTTTTGTTGCACTTCCAATTTTATCCCTTTACTATTCCCAATGCATAACACTAACAGCCGACCAAACTTCCACCTTTTCCTAAAGGCAGATGGTAATCAACTCTTCATGAGTCCATGGCAATGAAGATCAATGACCCATGTCTTGAAATATACAAAGCAGATTGAGTTGCAGCTCCACATTATATATCTTGTTGTGATGTTGCGAAGTGGATACCAGGTTCAGAAAAAAATGAATCTGATCTAGATGAGTATCAAAAGGTGGGTAGTTGGGATAGGTGTTTGGTTGGATGCTGCAGTTTGGGTTATGAAATGAGAATTATATAAAACAGAATAATAGTGCAAGCCTTCAAGAGGCCTCTTCTCTCCCAAACCACACCTCTGTTTCAAAATATAAGCCCTAGTTGACTTTTTCAATAATCTGCTACACAACTTTGACTCATGTTTGTGCTTTATACATAAGATTAAACATAGCCACATGGGTACTTGTTAGATATTATTGGTCAAGTATCTACGTTGGCAACGAAACATTTATTTTAAAACAAAAGGGAGTAACAAACAAAAGTAATTGAACTCTTAAATGTTTTTTTCATGCTTACCCTCTCACTGATCTCTTTTAGTTAAAGAGCTAACTCCCTTGCTTTCTCCCCAAGCTAAACTAATTATGTTGCGCTTCCAATATTACTTCTTCCCTATACCTAACGCATAACAATGTATTAGAATTCCTCCATGTTTATACCTAATGCATAACAATGTATTATAATTCCTCCATGTTACATGGACATGGGCATGAGAATCGAATATAAGTGTAGATCCCCATTCGGCATTTTTAAATATTATGGATGGGGACATAGTCCTATACAAGAATACAACATCAATAAAATATTCTATATTTAAAACTTACAAGTATTTATTCTAAATATTAAGTCACATTTATAAAAAAATAGAAAACTTTTTTCCAAAATAAAAGACAGTGTTCTAATACATAACTTTATTAAATTTGGGCTCCAAAGTTGTAGGCAGCTTGCAGCCTCAAGTTACCAACCCACATATAAGAGATATTATTATTATGGCCCAACATAAGGCCCAAACAAAGACCACTTCTATTAGCTATACCCTATGTTACTCGGACTCGAGTACAAGTGTCGGATAAAAGTATGGATATGAGTGTCAGATGTGACAAAGTTAAAATTTCAAGAATACAAGAACTTTGTCCTAATTTGAAATCATGCACGAGGACATGAAGAAAAAAACGGAGATAATTAAAAGTAAACATATCTTCAATCTTACTCAAATTTTCAAAATATTTGAAATTTTAGAAAAATAAAATAAAATTGAAACAAAGGGAGAATATAAATAAATAAATAAGACAATGAGAGTTGGGGGGAAGTACTGCCAAAGTCAAATTGTCAAAGTATCGAACGATTTTTAATTTCTTTCACATAGTTCATATTATGTTGTACCCCTTCCCCAACCTACACCAAGATAAAAAAAAAATTAAAAAAAAAATAAAAAAATAAAAAAAATAAAAAAAAGTATAAAAAAGTTGCACGCAATTTTTAAGCTTAGTACCCACCTCCCGCCATAGTGGAGCAATCATTATAGGGGAAAAAATCTCTTCAAGGTGATGAGATTTATACTCTTACCAAACGCCCCCATTCTATTAAGCAAAAAAACGTAAATTTCACCTCAAATCCCCCCCCCCCTTTCCCATTTAATGGAATTAAGGTTAATACATAAGATCAAAACTATTCTTTAATTATTCCCCCTCCTTGCAATCACTCTTTCTTTTAATGTTCCGTGTCGAAATGATAAATCAAGGATGAGCTATGGATACAAATACCCGGATCTAGCTCGGATATAGGCCAGATCTTCCGTATCGATTATTTGTAGGTGAGGGTAGAGAATATACCCCACCAGCTGCACAAAGACAGGAGAAAGATGCACACAGACATGCATTGAAGAAGACTATCAGAGCTCTGACCATTTTAATATTCCATAAAGACTGATTCGCGTCAAGATCTCCCTTCCTTACTCTAATTTAGGTTTGTATGGAGAGTCATAATTGAGCAAATTCTTTCGTACCCAACCTCTATTCCGCACCAGTACCCAGATCATTGTCAGTTGTATTAGTATGGGGGAGAATTTGCCATGACGGAATAAAATAGTGACTAATCTTATTCATTAACATTTAATTTTACAAACACTAACTGATTATGCAATCTGCCACTTTACCCATCTTTATTAATATGGGTTAGAATTGCATGATTTCGGACCACCTTAAAGGCTCAAACCCTTCAACTATTGAAATTGATGCTATACATTATGGCTTGTTAACTACATCAGGAAATCATTTAAGCTTTATGTACAAAAATTATGCAAATATGCAAGAAACAACAATAATAAAATTGTACAGACTATATACAACAAAATTTCACAAAACAAATAACATTTGGCATAATAAGCAACCATACACAGTTAAACACCATAGCTTGAATAACTTCTTGAGATATTTAATCACCATAAGTGAGTTCATGAGGTATTAGCTCTCAAAAATTCCATAACTAATTGCTCATCACCATGTAATAAAGATATGCATTTGCATTAAAATCTCAAACAAGTGCACTACACAAGAACTTTGTTTCAACATTTCCATGTTCCTTCACAAAACTCAGTTTACAATACAAAGCAAAGGACAACAAAAAGAAGAAGAAATGAAGCACCTTTAATCCACCCAATACCTTGAACATATGTTACGAACCAGGTGATCACCGCAAACCTTGTCCCAATACCATTATAACCCAACAAGATGAATTAAAACCTATAAATTCAAAAATGAAACACCTTTCCTACAGGCAAGGGGTTCCTATCAAAAGCTGGCCCCCGGGGATTGTAGACATTCCCCCATTTCCATCCCGTAGCATTTGCATGCAGAGTATGACCATTGAACTACTGTTGAGAGCCGACACGGGTTTTTGCGTTAACCAATTCAATGGATGATAAATACTTCTCTGACCTCGGCTTCTCTCATCCAAGTGCTGCCTAAATCCCCCCTAAACTTCCCTTACTACTACCTTCACATATTACAAGTAACTTATCCACTTTTATTCAACCAAACTCCATTACTTTCTTTTGTTTTTCATTTTTAAACAACCAAGCTCTATTAGTAGTATCTTGTCTATTGTATTTGCCTTTAATCAACCCGACTCCAGAGTCCTATTTATTCACCTTCCTAAAAATTAGTGCAAAGGGTACATGAGACTTTTATCTGGAAACGGAGGGAGCAAGTAAATCAATTCAAGTAGCAGTCAGTTTAACAACAACACAAAACAAAAAATTTGCGCTAAATTACATCAAATTTTAGGAATTCTCATGCATAAAAATTATAAAAATAAAAAGTAATTAAGAATTTACGGGCAAGTGTAGAGCTTTTCGTTGAGCATCCTGAAATGTCCACCTGATAACCTTGCCTTCATCTATACAATCCCAAAAAACAAAAAACAAAATTTATTAATTGAAAATTCTAAAAATTAAAACTAGAATGAAAAGGGGTGAAAGCAAGAAAGAAAATACTACCTTGTCAAGAAAATTAGAGGATTTAATAGGATTAGACCGAGAAGAATTAGAGATTTTATTTGGGATTATTTGTTTAGAATGAGAAGTGGCAGTGGTTAAAGAAGAAGAGGTAATTGTGTTATCTTTGTGAGATTTGTTGCGGGCTCTACCCTTTCCACCTCTTCTCTTACGTTTTCTGGTGTCTCCCTCTATCGCCATTACTCAACCTCTCGAAATCCTTCGCTCCTTGTGGAATGAGTAAGGGAAATTTTGATCGCAACTCCCACAAGGCCACCAGAAAACCTTGCATAAAATCAATCAAGACATCAACTTATCAAGTATCTAACTCAAATATCTAAATAATTTAACAATTTAAGTTCTAACTCCAAAAAAATTAAAATCACACAAAAACTTAAAAAAAAAAAAAATAATCCCTATATACACAAATGAATTAAAATGTATCAATTATATATCAATCATCAATTAAAAATCCAACAAGCAAGAACCTAATTCTACAATCATAAAAGTGAAATATTCAACTTAGCAATTAAGAATCTAACTCCACGATTGTATTTCAAATTAGCAATTATCAATTATCAATTAAATTCAAAAATAAATTGAAGATGTGCAGCAGCTCACGGTGTGTAACTGTGTAGGGCTTTGGAGATGTGCAGCGTTTGGCCTGAGGTGGAAATACGGGCTGCGAGTGAATACGGTGGAGCAAGGTGGTTGTGCGCTGCAGGTGCTGTTGGTGTTATTGTGTTGTGATGCGAAGGTGGCTGCAAGGGTGAGTACTGAGTATCAATTACGCACTTGGTACTTGGCACTTGACAGTTGACTCAAAGCCAGAACCCGAACTCACTCCTACCTACACACGTACAAAACCAAACAGAGGGTGAGACAGCATATAAAATGAAATGAAAATAAATATAGTAAAATAGAAATCTATTAACTATTACTAAAACAGAATATGCTGACGTCACTAATGCCTATATCTCACTCTCTCAATAAAAAAATTTCTCGCCTAAATGCAAGGATGATGTCATCTTTTTTTTTTTTGGAGCTATCTTATTTAACATTTTTGAAATTTAAATATTGGAAGCTCCTACATTACAACTAAAATCGCCTATTAATTAATCTTAGGAAATTGAAATAATTTTACATCATAACTCATAACTATTGATTTGGGTATTTTTACCCCGCCACGTAGATCAACCAGAGTCTGACACGTGTCACCTTAAGAAGAGCACAAAGTGGACCTACCAGGGCACGACACGTGGCAGACACATATCCCACGTAGGATTGGCGGCCTTCAAGGCCCAAACTCCTAGGCAGCCCATCAAGTCCTAGGTTTCCTTAACCTAGGACGGGCACGAATCCCAAGACTCTATAAATAGAGAGACATTCCCACCTAGGGAAGGGGGATATTGAATACATTCAAACACATTCAATTCACACGAATTACGAGAGTAAATACTCAGATATTGAGGCTGTCTATGATAGCCGGATGATCATTTCTTACCATAGAAAAACCTGATCTCACTTTACATTCTACACTTTTTATCTTCCGAACACGTTCTAACTTGATCGTCGGAGGCGGAACTCCACCCAACCGAAGTCTCCGTTGTTTTGCAGGTAGTACAGGCGTCCGGAGTCCAGTCTTGGTGTTGTAACTCTCCCAAGGGACACAGAAAACCCATAAACAACTATATACTAAAAGACACACCAGCAATAACACGTGTCATCTTTTGGTGTGTCCTTAGTTTAGGTTTTTTTTTTTAATATAATTCTATTATAAAAAAAACAAATCTTATACTAAAATAGTTTCTAATCTTATAAAATATAATTACTTAAAATAAAAAAATATTTGACATATCTTTAATACTAAAAGACACACCAGCAACGACACGTGTCATCTTCTGATGTGTCCTTACTTTAGTTTTTTTTTTTTTGAATAAAATTCTATTAAAAAAATAAACCTTATACTAAAATAGTTTCTAATCTTATAAAATATAATTACTTAAAATAAAAAAGATTTGACATATCTTTAATACAAATATTTGTATAGCTACGAAGTATAAAAAATATTCTTAACATAATTTTGATAATTTTCTACGTCATTTTATATCTAACATATCTTTCGTATTCCTTTATTTTGATTGAAATTTGTCAACTATATCTTTAAATTTTTTGTTTATAAAAAACAAATTATAATAATATTTTAATAATAGTTATTGAAAATTACCGTGGATGACACAGGAACTAACCTAGTAAGAGAAATAAAATTAAACTAATAAAAATTAAATAAAACTATACAAGCAAATAAAATCAAACAAAATACGATAATAAACTAAAATTAAAAAACTATACAAATCTCTCCTCTCTCCTCCTTCCTCTCTCCAAAACCCTAGCCTCAATTCTTGAATTTTGGAGGGGCTTCTATCGGTTTTAACCGGTGAAAAGCCCCAATCCTTGTTTCTTTAAAGTTTTTTAAGGTTTATAATAATGCTTCCTCCTTTTGGGAGGAACTTTTCTCCCTCGAAAGAAAGGGTTTTTAAATCTCCTTTGAAAGACAATGGTTTTTCGACCTCCTTTGAAAGACAAGGTTTATCTCCTCTTTTCGGGGGAGAAATTTCTTAGTTTTGAATCCATGATATTAGATCTAATGGATTGTCGTGAAATTATTTCGTTGGTGAAAAAGTTATCAAGTTTTCGAATACAGACAAATGAATCAAACGGAAAACATCCTCACGGCTACAAAGGATCGTTAGATTGTCTCTCCAACAAGGCTGTATTTTCCAGCGATATAAGCGGGAGACGTTCCACATTGCAAGATCTACTCGACGATCGTAGTTTTATGAAGAAATTTTTTTTTTTTGATTCAATATCTTATGTATAGGTTAACGTCGAATCTCTATTGTAGATGTCGTATTACTTTTAATTAATAAATTATTTTTGCTATTAAAAAAAAATTTAAAAAAAAAACTATACAAGAAGAAAACAAAATAAATTAGAAAATAAACTATAAACTAATAATATAAAACAAAAGTAAATTAAAATAAAACAAGGAAAAAATAAAATATGAAAATAATCTAAAAATTAATTAAATAAAGTAATTAAACTAAAACATACCAAATAAATTAGAAACTTTATTAAATAGAAAATAAGAGAATAAAGGGGGAAAATAAGATAAAGTAAACACAAAAATAAGCTAAACACTACCCGTAACTTTTTGGTTCAGCAGGTCACACTGTGTGGCAGGGGTTACTCGAGTTATTTTGTTAGGGGTTACCCGAGTTATTTAATCAGGGGTTACTCGAGTTACTCGGTCATGGGTTACTTGAGGGGTTCGGACAGGGATTACTCGAGGGGTTCACTCGGTCAAGGGTTACTTGAGGGGTTACTCGGTCAGGGGTTACTCGAGTTACTTGGTCAAGTAGTTACTCGAGTTACTCGGTTAAGGGTTACTCGGTCATAGGTTACTCGAGTTACTCGGTTAGGGGTTACTCGAGTTACTCGGTTAGGAGTTATTTAAGGAGTTTGGTCAGGGGTTACTCGAGTAATTCGGTCAGGGGTTACTTAAGGAATTCGGTCAGGGGTTTCTTGAGGGTTCAGTCAGGGGTTACTTGAGGGGTTACTCAGTCAGGGGTTACTTGAGGGGTTACTCGAGGGGTACGGTCATGGATTACTCGAGGGGTTACTCGGTCAGGGGTTACTTGAGGGGTTACTCGATCAGGAGTAACTCAAGTAACCCCTGACCAAGTAACTTGAGTAACCCCAACAACTTGAGTAACCCCTGACCGAGTAACTCGAGTAACCCCGGCAACTCAAGTAACCCCGGCAACTCGAGTAACCCCTGACCGAGTAACTCGAGTAACTCCTGCCGCATGGTACATCAGGCCGCATACAAAAAAATTGTGAAACACTACCCCTAGCTAGGAGTGACATAAATGTCACTTAACAAATTCCCCCAAGATAAGCTTTTGCTCGTCCTTGAGCAAAACAAGAACTAAACATAAGGGAAGATGACGCACTTATTTAAAGAAATAAACAAAGAGAGAAAGAAAATACACTAACTCACTGGCGTAGGAATCACGGATGCATTTAGCGTATGCATCAAGAACTTTAAACCCCTATGTCGCTAAAGAGGACGAGTAAACTCTCGTGAGGGTTTCCTAAGATATTAACCCACAACTAAACACGCTCAAGTCAAACTAAAACAAAGAGAAAATAAAGAAGAAAGGAAAGTAAAAACACGAAACAAAACATGAACAAGAAGATCATTTTGAAAAGTCAAACATAGATGGATAACAATCTTTCTAAGCAATAAGAGTAAGCACACTAGTGGATGTCAATGGTTGATTGAAAGATAAACTATGCTAAGCATAGAGAACTCTAACATGCTCCACTCCCCCCGCATTTCATACATTCTTACCGCATTATCTCATCTAGATTCAAATCCACCCTTCAAGGTAGCATCTCATGACTCCACGAAAGAGCCGGGACAAAGATAAGGCAATAAGAACAAGGGGAACCTGACATCTTACCAAATCACGCTCTCTCCATATGCTTGAAATCTAGTTCTCTCCACCGACTAGTGACTCAACTAATCTAAGTGAAAAGGACTTTAAAATGGGTTGTAACATAGGCTAGGGGGTAAAGGTGCGGAAAAATTTGAAAATTTTGGTGGTAAAATCCTAATTGTGAAGAAAAGAATGATCAATTCTCAAAAACAACATAGAACATCACCAATTTCCAAACAAAAAATACATCTCCCCCAAGCTTATTCAACACAAACTCACAAAACTATAAACAAAATGCGTACAACCTTTCCCCCAAGCTTGAATTGAGCATTGTCCTCAATGCTCAAACTAGGGAAGACACTACATCAAAATCTTTTTGCGATTTTTATACATTTCTTTTCTTTTATTTATTTTTTTTTTTTTTTTGAGCTTTGCTTTTGTCAACTTTTATTGCATGTCCTTGCCTCTTTTAACTATGGACGACTTTTTCTTGAATTTTCACTTGCTTTTATTAAACACGAATATTTACAACCTCACTTTTCATTCCAAACCATCACCTTTTCAGCTTTTGAAACCAAGGTTAAAACAAAATTTCATGCCAAAAATTTCACAATTCTAAGGGTAAAAAAAACAAAAAGGTCATGAGGTTTGTAATATGCTTATAAACAAGGAGGGATAGTCTCAACATGGCTAGAAAGGGGCAAATGCAAACAAAGATAGAAAAAAGCAACAAAAGAAAAGTAAATCCTAGAAAAGAAAAAATAATCACTGAAAGAAAATGTCTTTATTCTCCCTAGATTTAGTTCGATCGCAATCTCGGGTAGCTAGACGTCAAGTTCTTGATCTAAGCATGCCTTGGTAAGGATCTTGTATCACTCAAATAAGGATATTGAAGACTTGAACAATGAAACTCATATATCGGGTTACAAAAACTACCTTCAGGGCTTCAAATCCCCTAATGAGATGAGAGCAACACCTTCTTACGACAAACAAGTGAATTTAGGATCAGCGGGGCCTTACGAGTTCTATCACAACTACCTTAGCATAGGCATATCCTAGAGTCAACCATTGACAATCCAAGAACGTGGAAACTCTTAATTCTTAGGAAGAAAGACATTCAAAAACGCAAATCCATCAATTATTGCTCATCAACACACACACGAAACGTACCAAAATCACATGGCTTGTCTTTAAGCAAAAGAAGATTTTTTTTTTACTTAAGCATGGAGCATAAAAGACAAAAGGCATGCAAGCAAATAATTCCCAATCGTCAAATAAGGATCGTTCGGCATCAATACCAATGATCACCAGATTTCGAAGAATCAAATGCATGCAACCTCGAATCATTCAAATCTTATCTAAACTA